TTGCCGATGAGTTGTTGGGAACTTGCTGTTATTATATCTTGTAAACTGTTGCTGGCAAGAACATACCGAAAAGAGGATACACCCTTTTGTTACATTGCTGAAAACACATGAGCAATATTTGTGGCAAGTTGCCAACAACTTGCACTCAGTTGGCTATTTGGGAACCTGCTCTACAACATATCTAAAGCGCATCAAAATCGGTGAGGTGTGACCTAAATTGTATGTTTATCAAAAATATACAATACACGATGTAGGTAAAATTACATTACAAAAATTTCTACTTTATATTAACAAAGTTTTACAAGACAAGTTTTATCTGTATAAATTATAGTAAAGTTATCACAAATTTAAGTTTTTTAATATGTGTCCTTGACTACCACTTACTTTAGAGGATAATAAATAAAATTATCGTATCTTATATAAATCAAAGAATGATTTGTAATTTAAACGGAGAAAAATGAAATATACTTTATTATCATGAGTTTTATCATGTGCGTGACTATTCAAAATTATTATCTGACATCGACATATTCACGAGAGATTAATTTATCTTCTCAAGCACAGCGTGACTCAGATCAATTAGAGCCGATGTCTACATAGCACATCGCGCGTTTAGTCGCTGGTTTTTGTCATCGGAACGCTACCGCACATTGACAGAGATCATCAGACTTCGAAAATTATTAAATCAACATGAAGAATTTGCTGTCGATTCTTTTTGTGATCCTTGTCTGCGATCACATTACTTACGGTTATCGGATTCTTGGCGTATTCCCGATCACTAGTAAAAGCCATTGGATTATGCAAGAAAGTCTGATGGTAGGCCTTGCAAGACGCGGTCATCAAGTGGACGTAGTCACGCACTTTCCGCTAAAGAAATCGGAACCCAATTATAAGGAAATCAGTCTGGAAGGCAGTATTGGTTTGACTGTAAATAACTTAACTGCAAATGAAAGTCACCAATTTAATAATCTGAACATGAAACGATTGACCGATTTGGCTGGCACAAGGATCTGTAATCTGCTGGATCATCCGAAGCTGCGTGATCTACTTGAGAATCCGCCACAAGATCCTCCATATGATCTTGTTATAACAGAGGTACGATCGATATTTTTCAACGCTAACATGTTTAATTCAGTCTTATAAGGGAAATAACAATTTTATAAAGAAGGTAGTAACGTGGTTTTCTACTTACAGTTTGTAAATATTAATTATTAACAAAATTGTGTTGTTACTACTATTTTAAACTGAAAACTGAACAATTACATATTCGTGTGTTATTTAACATCTTCTAAACACAAATTTATAGAACATTTAGTATTTACAAGACGATTTATTAGAATATTTAGTTTAAATATTTTTTATTTATAAAACTGGCAAGTACACTGCAACGGGTGGAAAAAGAATAGGAGGAATATGGTTTACTAGTGGTTTTCTAAAATAAAGTGATACAAAACAAGTAAAATGCATAAGATTTGATACTTATTAAAATAAAAACCGTATATAATATATCTAATTGTACATATTTTTTATTTTTTTGACGTAACATAATGTACAAATATCTATAGTTCAGTACATGATATAAAACTCTGTCCTGATTGCTCTTGCAATGACCCAACATCAGGACAGCGCAAAACGACACACTTTGATTTATCACAGAAATTTGACAGCATAGCTAGCATTGCTAACACAGGAATGCAAGCAAAAAAGTAGTCGATGGAAAAAGTGCCTACCTGAATTTACGAATATATTACATTTATCTTTTTCTGTCAAGCAACATTGTCCATGATTTCTCACACGCTAAACATTGTATCCACTAAATCGTATTGAGGAAGCTCTTTAGCATTCCGTGCTGATGTTTAATTTTACATTAGTTTACATATAAAAAGCCGAATATAAAAAAATGTATCTCTTTCTTAATAAATAGTATAAACTTTCAGTAACGGAAAAAACATTTAACTATTCATATTATTTTAACAATAATAAAAAGGAGTAAATAATACTAATAGGTTAAAGATAATAAAGTTTAAAACACAAAAAGGAATCAAGTATAATTAAGTGCTACGCTTGGCCTTCAAATTCTTGGCTCCAAACTACAACTATGTTAAACGGTATATGCTATCTAATAGCATGTTAGCGATTTTGCTACTCGGATGTAAACATTCTTCTTGTCTTCTAAACCTTTAAAAATTGTCAAAACTGTGTGAGGTGTTTAATTATTATCAAATTTTGAACATTACCTTATAGATATTTTTTTACGTAACGTATTTTTAATATTTCTTTTTTATCTCTCCCTCAAGTTTCAAATATTAAAAAAACAAAAAGGAATGATGATTAAGCGATGTGTAGGAAATTACGTAACACTATTCAGCGTTAAGTGATGCAGTGTCAATGTCAAAACATAATATATTTGTAATGGGCGTTCTTAAGAAAGATTCAACTTACTCATACAAGTGAAGCAATTATGTAGCAGAAAATGCATCACAATGTTCTCTTCAATATTATTTTGCTGATGTAAATTGTAAATTACTACCTGACGTTGTTCTTGCATATACTTAGTATAAATTAGCAGTTAAAATACCTTCTAAAATATACAGTCATTGTTACGATTACACATATATAATAAAATTACAAGTGTGACAGTACACCTATCCTAATAGGCACATTTGTGAAAATATTGCACAAAAATGGCATCATGAATGGCGACGATTTTGCAATGATTGCACTAAGATGATTCACCATAACGCAACAGTTTTGTCGAAATAAAAGTTTGTAAATACATGTGAACATATATATATGTATACATATATATAATAGAACATTTCAGCATAACATCCTGCAAAGCGGCTCGTATGACCTTATTCATTTCTTAGCTATTACTTCAAGAGAGCCTTAAGTTTCTTTGTTAATTTGTAAATAATATTTGTCAAAAATTGCGAAAAAGTCGTTATGCATTTCCACAGTATATACTTTCAATAGGCAAATTGTGAAAATATTGCACA